TTACGGCACACCGATACTCAACCCACCAGCAGCAGCAAAAATCTCTTTATCAACAAACATATCCTTCTTAGAAGCAAGTGGAGCAGTTTCCCGAAAGTCGATTACTTCTGAGTATCCGTTTGGTAACCTAATTACCATGAATCCACCACTTTGATTATAAAGAACAACCCATTATTAAGAATAAAAATTTGACAAAACTAAGATCACCAGATATAAGTTTTAATAATTCAAGTTACCCTCCAATTCCAGAAGAAAATGTATTAATGGCGCCAACACATATAATACTAGTTATCGCCGCGTCGATGGCATTTCCACCTTCTTTCAAAACTTTTAATAAATAAATATATAAAAATAATAATAATAATTAATATCAGAATTATCTATAATTATTATAGCAATGTATACTAACCATCAACACCATATTGTGAACAATTTACAATTTCGGATGCTACAGCACCGTACTTCGCAACAACCAAATTCGGGTCCGATTCAGCTAGTATAAGATTACTTTTATTTTCCACTTTTATTAAGTTTAAAAAATTAATAAGTAAAAATTAGATAAAATTAGAAAAGTATACCTTATTATTATAAATTAAGAAATTTTAAATAAATTTATTAAATTAAAATTTGCCGACAGCCATTTCGCTTATAATCTATCTATAGCCAACACTAATTATAATAATTAGGCTAACCCTGACCCTAAATCGGACCAAATTTTTTTTTTTTAGACAAAATGGCTGTCAGTGAAATGGTTGTCGGCGAAATTGGTCAAATACATACAAAAATATTTCAAATTAACGAGAGTTAACGTAAATATCACCAGCATCATTAACGTTAAAATCATATTGGTGACTGAGCATCTTTTGGATTTAGGTCGCCCGATTAATTCATATGAATTAGGCATTTTTTTTTTTACAGGATGAGAATTTTTTTTATTTTTTTTTGTGGGAAAAAAGGCATCGTTGGCTTAAATATGAAATTTTATTTAATGGTAACTCCGATTATCCAGTTATTTGGCGCAGAGATGGATTTTCATGCATAAATGCAGACGATCAGTATCGGCCTACCCGGTTAAGTTATGCAATATTTGCGCCCACATGATTATAGAATGCACAACAGCCAATCATATTGTAAGATCAGGTGTAACGCTTAACTTTGATTTCAATAAATATAGAGATAATTAATTTAAGTAAATAAGCATTAATTAATTAACTTACCGTTACACTTTTAAGAAATCTAAAGAGTCTTGCGAACTGGATACGTATCTTATGGGCCAATTTTTTTGATTTGGTAATTATTAAAAATTAGATGATAAGAGTTTATAAAATTTAATCCAATCATTTAAGATCATGAAGTGATATTACTGTATGTAATTGCCGGGTAAGTCTTACTCGGGCTTAATCTCTAATCACTAGTACTGTTACACCTAAGACTATTTTTCATAACAGTTAGTTCCGGATTCCACAATTACAAGAGACCTTTCAATTCACATTGTTTAAGTTGGCTGGCTGAGCCAGCCGACTAAAACATCGGCTAAGCGGGCTGGATAACAGCTTATATTGCGGAATCTTTCGAGAACTTTACAAAAAAGATGGCTTTGGTCATGAGCAAAGTTAATTGTTGTCGAGGTTAGGGGCAGGGCCATGTTATAATCGGGCTCCCATATCACATGAAATTCAGTGTTTAGAACTTTGTGTGACAATACCCTGACAAAACCCAAGAAATACATAATTAGTTAGTTCCATTCTCAGCAAATGCACAATAATTTTTAATTTGACATTTTTGGGTTTTCGGGATTTTCGGATCTTAATTTTAGATTTTTGATATTTTTAGGATACGTAGAAACTTTTTTGCATTTTTAACATAAAGGATTAGTGTCTTAAAAATTTTGTCGGAATGTTTTCAACATTTCTCATCTAAAATTGAATTATTCTGAAATGTCGCTAATTATTATGTAAGACTTGATATAAAAAAAAATTACAGTAATTAAAAATGTTAAATTTATACGTATTGTATTTAGCCATATACGTATAAACTTTAATAAACATTGATAACGATAATCAGTGAAAATTACAATGATAAATATTATAATTTGTACCATGAAGGTATTGTGGAGCATCAACAATATATTGTGATAGAATCCGGATTAAAATTAGATTCGTCTCAACGAAGACAAATCAAATGTTTAAAAATCATCCCATAAACAGGTTTTCATATAATAGAGCAATCTTAATGTATTATCGATGTTTGATTTTTTCAAAGTCCGATGTACTGCATCTATACAACTTTGTAAAATTTTATTAATAATATGAGTGTTGCTAAATTAAAACCTGTAATAAACATTTAAGTTTCATTGTACGTATCAGAATAATTTTAGAAATGAAAATATTAGTGTTCTGGTCGTTTCGATACGTAGAACGTGCTATTGTAAAGGTAATATTTTAACATATGCTTGAAATTAAAACCTCGTTTAATGTTATTTCTCCCCCCACCTACAGGTCTTCCACAGAATGTAACCAATTAAAAAAAAAAAAAAAAAAGCTAAAAGAATATATGTAGATATTATGAAGTAAAAAGCATTAAATAATTCTCGTAATAATATATCAATGCCCTGCTTTAAATACAAGTACATACGTACAGTACGTAAAACTAGCTCATTAATAAATACGCTTACTTTATTCATTTAGCATCAGTTAATAATAAAATAACAAACTAAGATGCAGGTTAGAAATTTCTTGCAACTTTTATTTTTGAATTCCGCTAACGCTAACAATTCTGTTACACCATGGCTGTATGGATTAAGCTATACTATCCAAAAAATGATTTTTCTCATTGCAACTGTAATATAAGATAGTAAATATGACTGTTTGAAATTAAAAATTTGTTTAACGTTCTCCCCTTCCACTTCTGAAGCACCCCTTGATTAAACAATATCTGAAAAATTTGAGGCAATTGGTAAATTTCGGAAAACTAGACAAACAACCAACATTAAACACAAGCTGGTTCAGATTTAGGCTAACTTGAACCTAAAATAAAATTACTGTTTGTTTAATTTTCCCCTCCCCCTTCTGCACAAAAACTAGGGATGTTATCCTGTTCATCCAAACTCGACTCGGCTCCTGTTTGAAACCCTAATCAATTAAACTCGAGTTTTGTAGTCACATGATTTTAATCGTCATATTTCAAACTCATCGTACTTAAATTGAGTCTGAAATCGATTTGACGAGCAAAAAGCTTCTTGATTTGTAATTGACTTTTTAACTTTTAATTAAAAGTTTATTACCGTAGCATGATATTATATGACGATATGACTCATTTAATTAAAAGTTAATTTCTAGTGATGACGAAAATTGAACTTTTTTTTTTCTTTTTTAACTTTTTAATTAAAAGTTTATTACTATTATATGACGATATGACTTTTAATTAAAAGTTAATTTCTAACGATGACGAAAATTGGACTTATTCTTTTTTTTTATATAAATATGTAAAAAAAATTTTTTCTTTTCTCTTTTTTTATTTATTTAATTTATTTGAACCTTGTGCGATGAACGAAAAAACCATACCTGAACAATTTGAACCTTGTGCGATGAATGAAACTATACCTGAACAATTTGTTAATGTGAATGCAATTGAGTTTATTTCCTCTTCAAGTTTGACGTCTCAAGTTGAACTTGAATCTAATATACTAAAAGAAATGACAAACTATCTCAAAAGCGATTGAAGAAGGATCCCTTCTGGGATGAACTTACTAAAACTGCCTAATACGTAATCAATTATCTGAAGAAAACCAACAATTTTATCTAATTAGTAACTTTTTAAAATATGTACAGTACAATAGACATACTCTATAAAAGTAGAAAATATTGCATAAACGGATCCAACAATCAAACACTCAAACTATTCATTAAAACTATTCATTAAAACTGAATAATCATTTTCTACAACTTTATTTAGAACATTTATTCTTTTACCTTCTTTTCC